ACTAATATCAAGTTCAAACCCGATATCAGCTTAACCCCATTCCTGATTCTAAACCCATACCACTCTGCGAACCAAACGCCCCCTTAGGAATATGGAATAGATATAGATAGATAACACTGGGATCGAATATATACCAAATGTTTTCAAAAATATAGAATAAATACCAACTGCAGAGAACTCACCCAATTTCAAAGGATAGGTGAATGAAGTAAAAGAGAGAAATAACTCAAAAAATAGTGATCAAGAAGTGAGATTTAGAGTACCAAATTCATTCATGGATAACAGTGGCAAGTACCCTTATTCTGAACCCCAAATCCCAGATTATGGGAAAAAAGAACCCACTGATCTCAATCAGAAGTTCCTTGACTATCACGAACGCGATGTCAAGGAATTATTTACCAGTCAACCGGGCTCGCGCCGAGCCTGATTGGCTGATGATGAAATTATGCGTGGTCTCCGGCTTTCAACTTCTGACAGAGCCTGATTGGCTGATGATCTAATGTGAGATCTCCGGCCTTCATCCGCTAATTAGTCAAACATGAGATGTGATAGGATTATAGATTGTGCAAAGAAGCCACGGGGCAAGGTAAATGCTGTTAAATTACAATCCAAGAATCTTTCAATGTTATTGTACACTTTTTGTTAGTATTTTAGTTGAAAGTGAAAGTCGGATTCTCTACGAATAATTTACATTTGCTTATTGTATTTTACAAACAGCGTAAGTGGCCAGAGCTAGTTGGAGTACAAGGGGAGAGAGCTGCTGAAATCATCAAGCAACAAAATCCCTATATTATTAGGACCCCACTTATACTACATAGATTAACAATTACCGTGGACATGAGGTATGTTCGGGTTCGGGTTCGTGTTCGTGTTAGTGATTTTGGGCCTTTTGGCACTGTGGTTAGTACTCCTGTAGTGGGGTAATGCCATGGAGCAATGTTACTACTGTACCATCTTAACTTTTAAGTTATTTTACTTGATGGCTGATGTATGTACCTTGAGTCTTTGAAGGACTTCAATTCCTTCAAATATGTATAATAAAAAAACAATAGTAATGGTTTAAGACTCTTGAGGCAAGGTGATGGAGTAGTGACATTGCTCTCGTCTTTTATTCATGAGATCTAGGATTAAATATCATGGGACTCATTTGGGACCTCAAATGAGTCCCATCTTCTTACCATTAAAAAAAATGGTTTAAGACTCTTAAATGTTGTAAATTAAAGTTTTTGCTTAGAGCACTCCCAGCAGTGAGGAGAAAAGCCCTCACAAGTAAAAATAAGGGTGTAAAAAAAATCCGAACACTACATCAGTGAGCGAAAAAACACTCACCGATGAGTGAAAATAAAAACCCTCAAGAGTTGAGGGCTTTTGGTGATGAACAGTAACATGTGGCCCCCACTGCTTTTGTTGTTTTTTTACAACGGTTATATTTTGTATTTGAAATATAACCGTTGTAATTATTTTTTAAAAAAAAAAAATTCACCAACGACCATAAAATTTTTTTCTCTATAAATAGACATGCATTTTGATATACTTTCAAAAAAACCCATAAATTAGAGAAATTAACATATTTTCCCAATTTCTTCTTGTTATTATTATTATTATAATTATTTCTTATAAAAAAAATTTCTAGTTAGTATTATTAATATTTTTAAATGTAATTATAAATTTTTATTAAATTATTTTTAAACGTAATTAAAAAATAAATTAAAAAATAGTGGAGGAGAAAGTGATGAGAGGTTTTTTTTCTCCTCATTGCTGTGGTGAAAAAAACATTTGATGAGAGAAATTGTATGGGAGGAGTGAGAAAGTGGGTAGAGAGAGATTGAGAGGTTTTTTTTTTCCTCACTGCTGAGAATGGTCTTATAAACATGTATCTCTAACATTTTGGCATTTTAACGTCTAAGCTTTTAGCTGAAATTCTTTTTGTTAAAAAGTATTCTCTAACATGTTTGTATGTTTCTTCATGTATCTCTTCACAATAAAACCAAGTTATTGAAGAATTATGAGGCCGGTAGGATTGTTATAACAGATGTGGGGAAAAAGAAAAATGACTAATAACACACATAAATTTACGTGGTTTACTAATAACGTTGGCAATATCCACAGACAAACGAATAGAATAGTTTTATTGATCTAAAGGAATTAAACAAATTACATATTAATAATAAATACTCCGTATCACAGTATCTAGGAAAACCTTAAGGAATTTTATATAATACTTCCTAAAACATAAATGAAATCGCAAAAGTCGGAAACCTAACCTTCACAAAGTAGCTTCCTTTGTTCATCCGTTCTGCTAGGGTGGGCTAACCAATACTCCGTACTCTTCAATCCGGTTTGGACTTTTTTTATTCACTCAATCTAATTTTTTAAGTGCCCTCATTGATACTTTTTGCAGTATTTATTTGACTTATTTTAATCAATGTTTATGAGTCTATTAACCTATATTAAAAACAAATCTTTTCATAACACTTGTCATTACCTTATGAAAAATTTTCCCGCCTTTATCACTTCTCTCTCTTTTTTTTTTCTTTTTTTTTCTTTTTTTTTTTTGCAAAATCTTTAAGTAAACTATTTATATCTTATGATATTTTCTTTCCCGTTAAACAATCATATTCCATAAATACCCAAATGAAATATTTTTTAATATCTTTTATATACTTTATATTTTGTAATATTTTGTCAAAAATATTTAACAACCGTGCATTGCACGGGATTTTAACCTTGCTATATACTAAAGGCGAAACCTGGAATGACACTTGTCATTTCTAGGTTAAAAAATTTCCCGCCTTTTTTTTCATATTTTAATGACATTTATTTTATAACCTACAATAATAATTATTTTCATTTTGAAAATATATTTAATCCAATTATACTCATTTTCTTTTACACATATTTTATATACTATGAAACTTTTAGTTATAAAATACTAACATAGATTAAAAGTAACGTATTGTAGTATATTATTTTCCAAGATTATTATAATATTATCAATATCAATTTTTTTCTCCAACTTTTATTATTTGACAAGAAAATTTATTTTAATTAAGAAAGAAAAATCATTTTGGTAGCATACTTTGTATAAATCTTAAAATTGCATAACATTTATAAGAACAAAATCATTTTGTTATAGTATACATAACATATATTGGAAAATTTAATCTAATTACTCTAAATATTTACGTGATTATTTAAAAAATAATATCCCCTACTACTCACTCTAAAAACATATTTAAAAAATTGATTACGGAATACTAATTATTGTAAAGTAAAATAAAATCAACTAAATTTTCATATTATGCCCGTCAAAGTGTGTCAGCAATTTAAGGATAAATGTATATGAGTTTGTATATGGGTACTAATCTAAGCTAATATTTTAATTTTCTTATATGAACCTTATAGCTTCTAAATTTCTATATTATTATATATTTTTTTTATACAATCCAATTCAATAACCTTTACGTATCTGGTATTGGTATAAACTAAAATTCAAGTTATTTTGTTACAAATAATTATTTTAGATTAATTATTGTTGAATTAACACCATTATTTATAATTTATCTGTTATATAATTTAATTATGACCGTGCATGGCACGGGACTTAACTTAGTTATACATAATTTTGGACAGGTTATCTAATTGGAAATTTATTAGAGAAGATGTCTATAAAAATTTTGGACTACATAAAGATGGGGCTTGAATATGGGAAATGAAGATCTATGTACTACTTATAAGTGAGAAAAAACGATTTGCTTGGAGTTTATTGTGGGTTTTACCATATTTTTCCCTTTAAATATGATGTTAGTTCTAACAAAAAGTAATTTTAATGTCCTTTAAAAAAAAAAAAACACAGTAGTTTTAATGGGTTAATAATTAATTAATTAATCTATTTAAGTCAATAATAAATTTGATTCCATTGAAAAAAGAAAAAAAGCATTAATAATATGAAATTGTTAGGGCTATGTATAGCAAAACCCAAAAAAAATATAATCTTAGTAGATTTCACTTTTTATAATTGATAATAAAAAATATTGCTGGTTATAAAATTTTGCATCAGCATGTGTGCTCCAGCTTCCACTTAACAAAAAAAAAAAAGGAAAAACACACTTTAATAATTCCAATTTTGTCTGATTTACTTTAATAATCCCAACTTTTGATTATTCTACGATTTACAATAATCTCAACTTTCACTTGTGTTTTCTTCTAATAATCCCAAATCGGTCAACCAAAAGTCAACTACCTATTATTCTAGGTAACTTGACACATGTCAAGTCATAATTCGTTCAAAAAATTAAAAAAAATTAAAGTAAAATTAATAGAAAAAAAGGGGGGAAAAAACAAAAAAACCAAGCCACCACTAGCCCACAACCACAAGTGGTGGCACTCCCCTCCCAAGCCCTCTTTGAACCACCCCCTCCCTAACGCCAGCTCTCGAAACCTCCCCTAAAACCGCTCCACCTCCACAAAACCGGCTCCCTCCCTCCCCCCACCCCCTAAACTAGCGATAGCCAAAGCCCCGAAATCGCCACCCATAACCCCGAAATAGCCAACGACCCTGACCGAAATCGTCCCCCTCGCCTCCCTCCACCCCCGAAACCACCTGTAACACTAATCCTAACCGTCGAAATCACCTCCCTCACCCCCGAAACCACCAAAAACGCAACCCAAACCCTTTCTCTCTCCTCCATGTGCCGGAAAACACATTCAAACGGTGTGAGGGGCATTTTCCCAGTGTGGGGAGAAGGCGGCGAGGTCGGAAATGCAGGTTTAGGGGATCGAAGAGGGTGGTTTTGGGTGGGGATTGCCGATTGGGGAAGGGTGGCCACCAGCGTTTGGTAGCTGGTGGTCTTTGATTTTTTTTTTGTTTTTGATTTAAATTACTTTATTTTTATTTTTTTGAACCAATTACCATGGAACACGTATCAAACAAATTGTTTTAAATTTTTTTAAAACTTTTTTTCACATAAACGGTAATCCCGATTAAAGTTGGGATTATTGAAAAATAATCAAAAGATAGGATTATTCAAAATAAATTGGACGGATTATTAAAGTGTATTTTTTTGAAACAAAAAAACATTGTAACAGACAATGGTCCATGGTCCAAATCAAGCAATAACGAGTTCAAGCGATCCGTGCGCGGTGAAGCGGGAAATCTAACAAATCGACCCAAATCCAAAATTCCAGTTGCGCGGCAAACGACGGCTTCCCTTTCTCATTTCACCGGTCTCAAAAATCGAACTTAGAGAGAAAAAATTAGAGAGCTCAGTAGAAAGATTCACTATCAAATTTCAGAATAATCACCATTTTCAGCAATTTTTTTTGGTGTGTAAGTAATCTGCAATCTTTATCTCTTTTACCTTCTTAAATTTCGTCGATACCCTCTACATTTGCAGTTTTGCTGTCAATTTCCCCCAATAATATAATGAATTTTTTTATGTTTTTATTGGGTTTAGCTCAATTAATAATTATTCAAATTCAAATTGGGATTTCCCGTTTTCAATTAGTTATGTTTGTGTATAATTAATTGGCTAGGGTTTCGCTTAAAATTGACTTCTATGGTTTTTTCGTTTTTAATCATGTAATGTATTACGGGATTCGAATGTACTCAGTTTTGTAGTGATCTCACTGATCTGCGGTTTCTATTTCCTTGTTCATATAATGAAGTAATTTAAATTAGTAATTGTTTAAAATATGAAGTATATTATCTTTAATTTATGAAGAATACAGGACAAACATCAGAAATGAAGGAGGATGTGATATAATGTGAATAATTTACTGGGAATTAGACAGAGAATTGGTAGGAATTGAGATGAGTATCAATGTTGGCAACAATTCTTTGTAACAATTTACATTTGACACCCAAGCTTAGAATAACTGAATCTTTTTTGAGAATGGAGAAGTTATTGACTATTGTTATGCTTAACAGCTTGCGTTGCTAGCATAAAACAAAGCCGCAGTCTGCAGACTGGTTGCCAGCTTCTGTTTATTTTTTTAGTTGCTGAAACATTCACTGTAGTGTATCTTGATGTGGATCAGAGTTTCTGGGGTTCCTAATGTTGCATTTTGTTAGGGCAATATTGTGTTGTGGATGGAAATGTTGATTTGATTAATCCAATTGTTGTCAAGTTTACTGACATGGGTTCTGAAACTCTGAATTATAAGTTGCAGGTTTATCTTTGAACGATGTAATTGCACACATGTTTACAAATTCTTATGCAGGTAGTAGTGGTGAATCAAGTTGTTTGAACTGTTCTACAATGGGCAAGAATGCCAGACCTACGCGCAAAAGAGATATCTCTTCACTGCATCCATTTGGTCACTTGAGACAGTCTAGCATACTGGATCATCTTCAACCCATGGGAAAATCGAAAAAGAGGCAAACTGACAATATTCCTGAGGCAACTACTTCTGGAGCCAGACATCCTGAAGGACAGTCTGAAGTGCAGAGGCCTCATATTGAAGAGATGTCAGAAAAAAGTCATACACTTGAATTATCTGTGCCATCATACTGTTTGCCTCCAGTTCAGAAAAGAGAAGAGGAAGCAGAAGTCGGACCTGATTGGGATCAGAAAGCCAACAGCTTGCTGCGAAAACATTTTGGGTATTCCGGGTTGAAAAGTTTTCAAAAGGAAACTCTTGGTGCTTGGTTTGCTCATCAAGATTGTCTTGTTCTAGCAGCAACAGGGTCTGGTATATTTTTCTGCATCTTATATGTTTCCAATGTGTATTCTTTGTGTCAATGCTATTTATGCCTAATTGCCTATATGTTTCTGCAGGGAAGTCTCTGTGCTTTCAGATACCTGCACTTTTGACAGGGAAGGTTGTGGTTGTGATTTCTCCATTGATAAGCTTGATGCATGACCAGTGCTTAAAGCTAGCAAAACATGGGATCTCTGCATGTTTCCTTGGATCTGGACAACCAGATAATAGCGTTGAGAAGAAAGCAATGAATGGCATATATTCCATCATATATGTTTGCCCTGAGACATTGTTAAGGTAAATCAATATACATCATCTGGCGGTGCTTTTCATTTAAAAGTGTTTCTTAATGCCTTGCTAGTATCACGTGGGAGCGTATCATGTCAGCTTATAAGGTCTATATTGCAGATTAATAAGTCCACTTCAGAGGCTTGCAGAGAACGTTGGAATAGCTTTATTTGCCATTGATGAAGTACATTGTGTTTCAAAATGGGGACATGATTTTAGACCTGATTACAGGTTTGATTCTCGCTTACCCTGGATGCCTGATGCTTTTATGACTATATGTTCATCAGCTTTCTTTTTCATGATGCATGGTTTTATTACATTGCTATTTTTTATACTACCTCCGTTTCATATTTTTTGCAATTTTGGGGTATTATTTGTGAGATATTAAATATTCCAATGTTGCAAAAAATATGAAACGGAGGTACTGAGGTAGTATACACAATTTTTATTTATTTATTTATTTTTTTAAAAAAAAAGCATGTATGTTGAGATTTACGTTAAAATTTCAATGTTCTGCTGTTAACTCTCCATGCTAGCTGAATCTCATTAATTGCTGAAGTGCTCCCATGTGAATGAGGTCTAATTCTTAGCTGTATTTGCAAATATAATGGTTTTGAATGTGAGTTAAACTGCAAATGGTAGCAACTTTAAATAGTTCCTGCTGAGAGTAGGATTGGGGCATTATGACTAACATTTTCCTTTTCTACTATGGATAAAGATGTATAGGGTCGTTGGCAAGAAAGAACATCACCTGTTTTTAACCTAAAAACTTCTTCTGTCTGAGAATCATACTTATATTCCATTTGACATGGGTGGCTTACCTTGACCATAAATTTGTCAAAACTATATTGATTTATGATGTGAATTAGATTTTCATAATCATCTCAAATTCTTAACTTCTCAAGTAGTTTTCATTTTAACACTTCTACTCTCTGTTCCTTATATTGCTACATGATTTTTTGGTGCAATGTTTTATAGTTTTCATAGTATATTTGGTTGAGTGAAATGAAGAAAAAGGAAAATGGTGGGACCACATTTCTTTTTGTCGAGAGATTATTGTAATGGACTGCTAGGATTCACTATTAATTCAGGTACTTAATTTGTTTTTTTGGTATAATAAAAGGAGATTCTCTCCCTCTAATAATGTCTGTTGGTATTATATATTGCTTAAATGGTATCATTCTTAATAGTTAATACCAACATAGAATTCAGTTAATAATTTGATACCAACAAAATTGTTGGTATTAGTAAAGAAGTATTTTGGTACAAAAGTAATACCATCTAAACACAATTTAATACCAATGAACACTATTAGAGTCATAGAAGAGTAAAAGCCTGAGAATTTCTCTCAAATAAAAAAAGAGTAATAAGCAAGCAAAATGATTGTTTTGGCTTAATTAGTGTAATTAAAATAATTACTACCTTCTCATTTTTGAGAGGTGGAGATCTTTCCCAATGTTTATATCTGAATATCTCTACAAAATTCTGATGCATTTTTTCTCTCTTCAACTTGCCTTTTATTGTACACTTCCTACATATCTACATTTCCCTTGTTAAGCTAACACATTCTTCTTGCATTGATTGTCATCAAAACTAACTCAACAGTTGGCTTACCACTCTACCCTTATGCTTCTTCCTGCCATATGTGATCAAATTAGGATTATTAATTTGATTCCTTGTATGGGACCACACCATAAATAGCACGACTCATTCTTATAGGGGATATCTCAAAAAGGAAAATGGATCCATACTACAGTGACAGAGGGAGTTTCATTATATAATAGTAGAGTATTTGCAGTTGATAGTATGGTATATTAGTGGAAATTAATGTTTGCATTGACTGTGCTGAATCACAACAGTCAAATATGGCATATTACTTTGAGATGGATTCAGTATCTTCTTAGTTTAGAAAATTAAATAATATCTCAATCATATGAAGCTTCTACTTTTGATTCTCAAGAAAATAAGAACAACAATGAACAATCCATTGAATAAAGAAATTAAAGTGAACTATTCTATGTTTGACTAGTCTCCCAATTGTAAATGACGTTTCTCCCAATAGTTTCTTTCCCCTATCTCCTAATAGTAATATCAACTTGCAAGGTTTCTAAAATAATCCACCTTTGACTCTTTGAGGCTCTCATGTATCAATGGAACTACTGGCCTTGGGCAATTGCCATCTCATTCCAATTTGGATCAAAAGGAGTAGATGGGAAAAAGAGAGGGATGGGTGAGTTACATTAAAAAAAAAATGGAAGGCAAAGAATACATGTGGTGGTTGGTGGGAGAAAAATGGAGAAAGTTATTTAAGAAGAGAAGCTTTAGATTATAGGGGAAGGTACTATTAGTTTTTGATAATACCTTTTGACATCCTTGTGCAGTTGTGCCGAATAATCATCTTGTAAATGTTGGTGGAATATTACACTATTAAGATTTTGGATCATTTTTGGATGGAATCCCTCAAAACTTACGCCAATTTAGGGATTATTGTCTGTTAGAACTACTATCAATGGACCTAGCAAACTGGGGATATATTTATTTTAATTCTTATTGTTAATTATCCAGCTTCAGATTCAAGTCATTCAACTAAAAATTTAGCTTGCCGGAGTTGCAGGTGTTTGTCTCCTTGCTATCCTACAAGGCTATAACAAATAATGCCCAAAGCTTTTCTGTGTTTTTTTTTGAAAAAAAAAAAAAAATCCTTTTTTGATCGTCTTTGGCTTATATATCAAATTACCAGTAAGTAGTTTGGTAGAAATCTAGTTGCGGAGCTTACTGCATTCTGCTTGGTCAATCAAAAGATTTCTTCTGGACAAAGTTGAGAGCCATATCACTGTCATTTTGCTAATGGAAATTCACTTTACTCAGCTGTCTGTTTTTGTCTTCATATTGTTCCGTGTTAAATGAGTGTAGAGCAAGGGATATCAATATATCTATGTTTCCAAAGTTGATCAGTTTGTTGTTAAACGGTATATATTCAATTAATTATCTTTGTTCTTGTAGGCGAATGTCTGTGTTACGTGAAAGTTTTAGTTCCAGCAGCTTGGATTTCTTGAAATTTGACATTCCAATAATGGCATTAACTGCTACTGCCACTGATCATGTCAGAGAAGACATTCTTAAGTCACTTAAATTGTCAAAGGATGCAAAAATTGTGCTTACAACATTCTTCCGTCCAAACCTTAAATTCTCAGTATGTCTTCTCTTTTATAAGATCATGTCTTGTAACATCTCTCTTGGTTGTGCCGATTTCCAATTTAGATCCCAGGGCATGTATTCTTTTTTATTCTCGGTCTTAATGTTTATTGATTTGTTATCATGCAGATAATGCATAGTAGAACATCATCTCCATCATCTTATGTTAAGGATTTCCAAGATTTAGTAAAAGTATACTCTAACAAGAAGACAACAAAAGAAAGCAGTGGTCGTACTGGGAGTGTCACGGAAGATCTTGAAGATTCGTTAGAAGACTCTGATAGCATGTCTGATACCAGTAATGTGGATGAACAGGATGATGAGTTGAGTTCACATAGAAAAATGGGTTTCAGTACCTCAAAAGAAAGACAGTTATCAGTTGAGTTCCTGGAAGATGATTTTGATGACATCCAGACTGCAGATGACTTCGATGGTATGTCTGCATTTGGTTTTTCATCTAAACTCGATTGGCGTTTACTCTTAAGTCTTTACCACGTCCATGGTATTTACTCTTTTTTAAAAATTAATTATAATGTCATTGCAGTTTCTTGCGGTGAGTTTTGTGGGACGCCTCTGGTTGATGGTGTACAGCTCAGCGAGTCCACTGAATTACCACATCCTACTCCACAACCAGCAGAAAGTTCTCAATACGTGAGTTGTTCTTTGGAACAAGGGCCAACCATCATATATGTTCCTACCAGAAAACAAACGGTAGCTATAGCAAAATATCTTCGGGCAAAGGGTGTAAAGGCTGAGCCTTATCATGCAGCGGTAATCTTTTTTTCATTTAAAATGTGTAAGCTAAGGATATGCTTATGACTATATATTGGTGGTGTATTGGGTGCAATTGGTAGTAATAGGTCCAAATTTATCAGGTTCCTAAAGATATCTTCATGCCATACTTTGCTTGTGCCTAGTTGTTTGTAATATGGATTTTCCTTTCCTCTTGCGTATTTTGCTTCCTATTGAAACATGTTCTTTCATGTGGCATATAAGTTTCTAAGATCTAATGGTTTGACTTTTTTTCTCAGTTGCCAAAGTCACATCTTAGACGGGTCCATAAGGAATTTCATGAAGATGCTCTAGAAGTAGTTGTTGCAACTATTGCTTTTGGAATGGGCATTGACAAACTAAACGTACGAAGGATTATTCATTATGGGTGGCCTCAGAGTCTAGAAGCATATTATCAAGAAGCAGGGCGTGCTGGACGAGATGGGAAATTAGCAGATTGCACTCTGTATGCCAACCTTTCTAAAATTCCAACTCTTCTACCTAATAAAAGAAGTGAAGAACAAAAGAAAAATGCATACAAGATGCTAGCTGATTGCTACAGATATGGTATGAATACTTCTATTTGCCGTGCAAAAGTATTGGTTGAATACTTTGGGGAGGTGTTCCATCAGGAGAGGTGTATGACATGTGATGTGTGCAGAAATGGACCTCCTGAATTGCAGAATATGAAAGCTGAAGCTAATATTTTCATGCAAGTTATTGCTGCCCACTACAAACAGCAAGGTGCAGAATATTCGTATGATGATCTTATAGGTGGTGATATGGGGACAAGCAGATCAAGTGAGAGGCTAACTCTAAGGTTGATTGTGACAAAGATAAGGGAACATTCTCAGCAATTTCTAGCTAGTGATCAGCTATGGTGGCGAGGTCTTGCTCGTCTTATGCAGGACAAAGGTTTTATCAGAGAGGGGGGTAACATGATTGGTGTTCAAATAAAATGCCCTGAGCCAACTAATCAGGGACTTAAATATCTTGAATCTGGTATGGAGCAAGATTTTTATGCTTATCCTGAGGCTGATATGCTGTTATCAGCCACTCGAGAACAACAGCCTTTTTCTTCTTTCTCAGAGTGGGGCAAGGGATGGGCAGACCCTGAGATCCGCAAACAGCGTCTAGCTAGGAGGAGAGCGTTTAAAAAACCGCGAAAATCTCGTAATAGAAAGAGTAGAAAGCAGTCAAATTCAATGACAGTCAAAGAACGAATATCTGCTAGGCTCTCAAAATGGAAGAGATGATTACTTTAGAACTTATCTCTTTAGATGTTTCAATTGGTTCTTTGATCATTTGATTTGCGCCTCAGTTAGCAGAGCAAGGCCAAGTGATCCCATGTAATTGTACTTGTACATTCTACATTAGTCAGTAATGCAAATTTTGTTATTTAATTTGAACAAACCATTACCTTCTTAATGTTTGCTGCAAAGATTTATGCTAGCACTCAGCTGAACATGTGAATCTTGATGCTCGCACCGAGCTTGAAAGTAGACTTGTTTGTATATATAAAGTTGATGTATTCACTTTAGTGTAAAATTAGGAATGTATATCTTTCATAGAAAGGCATATATCATATATCTGAACAATACTCCCAAACTGACTTAAGTATACAAATTTCCTACCTGTATGAAAATAACTAGAAAGACTGAGGAAGAAAATGCTGTCAAACTTCCCCCAAAACTGGGCAGTTCCATTTACCGGAGAGCTGGAGAATTCTGATACATAGCTTAGCCTTAACAATTCTGTTCAAATCTCAGCACCAGGCAGTCAGACATCAGAATACCAAAACAGGGAGTCCTAAACATTTATCCTATATTTGCAAGTCAACAGTTGCGGTTTTTATTTTTATTTTTTTATTTTTTTTTATTGCAGTTAGCCAGGTACTCAACATTGAATATTCAGTTCCAAGGAATTAGTTCCTGTGGTGCATCAGGACGGTAGGATGGTACCATCTCAACCGGCATAATTGAACAGCAACTAACAGATCACAGCAGTTCATAAAAGTATGCTAATACATTATCCAATATTAGGTAAACGAGCAACTTATGGACATGGAAGAAGATATCGAGGGAAGAACTTTGATTGTTAATCTAAATCAAACAATGTCGTATAAAGAACATATTTTGTCAATATTGGATCCTAATTAGGAGCATTACATCCTAGCATAACATCAAAAAGGGAATTAAAAGATGCCTCTTAATTTTGTATATACACTCTATAATTCATCATGAGATTCGTCTTCTTCAGAGTCATCAGCAGGCTTGCCACCACTTTTTTCGTAAGCTTGTTTGATCACAGGGTTACAAACAGCTTCCACTTCTTTCATCTTCTCTTCAAAGTCTTCCTTCTCAGCGTTTTGGTTATCATCTAACCACTCAAGTGCTTCTTTCAAGGCTGCCTCGATCTTCTCTTTGTCATCAGAGTCAATCTTATCAGCAAGCTTGTCTTTATCATCAACTGTGCTCCTCATGTTGTAGATATATGTCTCAAGCTTGTTCCTCGCGTCCACTTTTTCCCTCAACTTCTTATCCTCCTCGGCAAATTCCTCAGCCTCTCTCACCATTCGGTCTATCTCTTCTTGGCTTAGGCGGCCTTTTTCATTTGTGATGGTTATAGTTTGCTTGTTCTTGGCTGCCTTGTCCTCTGCTGTTACATGGAGAATACCATTGGCATCCACCTCAAAGGTCACCTCAATTTGAGGTACTCCCCTACAATAAGTAAGCACATACGAAAAAGTTTATCAGTAAAGAGGCATAATCACTATGCAGGTAAAATAAAGCGTCTATCTAGGAGTTTATTAGCATAAACTAAACACGAAACTGATCGAGATGATTACCTTGGAGCAGGTGGAATGCCAGAGAGTTGAAATTTTCCGAGTTCACGACAATCCTTGGTTAAGGTTCTTTCACCTTCAAAGACCTTAATATCAACTGTGGTTTGCTGGTCCTGATAAGTGCTGAAAATTTGAGATTTCTTTGTTGGAATGACTGTATTTCTTGGAATCAATTTAGTCATCACTCCACCAACAGTCTCAATACCCAAACTTAAAGGAGCCACATCAAGAAGAAGGAGACCTACATTCAACATTATGCAATAAAATCCATTAATGTTAATAACAAAGTGAGTGAATTACTCACAGGAAAAGGTCTAAAATACAGCAAAATCTGGCCAAAGAAGCAGAGTTATGAATTCTTTTTTTACCTTGAGTTTCTTCACCTCCTTCACCACTAAGAACACCACCTTGAACAGCAGCACCGAAGGCGACAGCTTCATCCGGGTTTACACCCTTGTTAGGCTCCTTACCATCAAAGAGATCCTTCAAAAGCTGCTGAATCTTAGGGATCCTAGTACTTCCACCAACAAGCACAATCTCTTTAATATCAGTCTTCTTCAACCCTGCATCTTGCAAAGCCTTCTTGACTGGACTCATTGTCTTCTTAAACAAGTCCATGTTCAACTCCTCAAACCTCGCCCTCGTCAATGGCTCAGAGAAATCAACCCCATCAACAAGAGCTTCAATCTCAACCCTAGCTTGGTGCTGACTACTGAGTGCCCTCTTAGCCCTCTCACATTCCCTCCTCAACTTTCCGAGCGCCTTCTTATCCTTGCTAATGTCCTTGTTGTGCTTCTTCTTGATCAACTTGATGAAATAATCCATGATCCTATGGTCAAAGTCCTCACCTCCCAAATGGGTATCTCCACTAGTGGAAAGAACCTCAAACACACCATTGTCAATAGTCAAGATGCTAACATCAAATGTTCCACCACCAAGGTCATACACCAAAATGTTCATTTCTCCTCCTTTCTTGTCCAAACCATAAGCAATTGCTGCGGCCGTGGGCTCGTTGATTATACGAGCCACATTTAGCCCGGCAATTGTACCGGCGTCCTTGGTGGCTTGTCTTTGGGCATCGTTAAAATAAGCTACAAGAAAAAAGACATTGATCTTATGAGAAACCATCTGAAGTATTCTCATTCTAAACTTTTCGTGTAAAATATCAATGTACAATTACTTGTCAATACTGATACAGTAACGAATACTTAAATAAAACTTATGCATAACCTTAAACGACAGGTAATATTGTAGGCAAACGAAAGAAATTACCTGGAACAGTGACGACTGCGTGTTTAACTGTTTTACCCAGATAAGACTCAGCAGTCTCCTTCATCTTTTGCAAGATCATAGCACTGATTTCTTCAGGGCTAAACACTTTAACACCATCCTTAAGTTTCACCTGAATATAAGGCTTCCCTTCTCTATTAACAACTTTATAAGGCAACATTTTCATATCTCTTTGAACCTCAGGATCATCAAACCTACATCAATTACCAAAAATAGTAAGTCCCATTTTGTTACATACCATAAGTCCAAAAATAAAATTAAAAAAAAAAAAAAAAATCGTTACATTACGGGTTTAAATTACACTATCAATGTGACAATTAATTCCGAACATATGACTTACTTTCTACCAATAAGACGCTTAACATCGAAAACGGTTCGATCCGGGTTAAGAGATGCTTGATTCTTAGCTGCTTCTCCAATTAATCGTTCAGTGTCAGTGAAAGCCACCCAAGAAGGAGTGATCCTATTACCTTGATCATTGGCTATGATTTCAACATGACCATCTTTATAAACTCCAACACAGGAATATGTTGTACCCAAATCTATTCCAATTACTGTCCCTTTTATTGTTTGATCATCTGCTGCTACTGTCACTCCTAGCATAAACTCTGAAAATAATTTTAAAAGATAAAAAGTCAGATTCTTGAACCATATCATAATGTGATCAGATGCATATAAATTAACAAAAATTTAAGTAAGATGATATGGGTACTTTAGTTTTAGAAAAATTAATGAAAAATACACATTAACAATAATAATAACAAAGATTAATTATACGGGTTTGTACCCGAGATGTGATCAAATCCCGCCTACATCATTTACGACTCTATACAAGTAACAAAAAATTATTAAAAGGGTAAAAGAGAAACTGACCTGAAACAAAGAGAAGAAGGAAGTATAATGCCAAATTCTTAGAAGAACACCGCATTGTTACAGATCAAAATTGTGTCACCTTTGCAAAAAATGTTAAAAATTTCGTACTAAAATTTATAATAAGATCACAGAGAATATTTGTTGAATGTTGATTTTGATGATGAGAATAATTAAGAATTGGAAGAGCGTTAAGTATTTATAGCTTATCATAAATTGTATGTTGGTTCAGGACCTTTTTAATATTTGACGAGGTTAATTAGGACATTGCTAGAGTGTTCTTCCCAGTGATTTTATTGCACGTCATACTTTTGTTGTAAATAAGTGTTGGAACCAATTAGAATTTGACACGTCAGTATTATGATGGTGGCAATTTCTTTAATTGGTGTGTTACTTGTTATTTCCCGAAACTTCTTGATTTCTATAGACACTGTGAGAGAAAGCAATATTAAAATAAATAAAATAAAGTGAGAACTCACCCGAGACACCCCTCCAAAAAAAAGAAAAAAAAAACACACTTTTTTTTTTATGTAATAAATAGTTTAGTGCTGTACGTTACACGAATTAAATAGCTATTATTTGTTTAAAATAGTTGTTAATATTTTTTATTTGTAAAATAGTGTAATCATAATTTCATTAATTTATTTTGAGAGAAGTACTGACGTATTGTATCTATTTAATCATGAAAAATAGAAGGAAAAAAAAGGGATGATGTCAAAAATAGTTTAGGCGGAAAAAATTTTCATAGAAAGTTGACATGTATCCCTTAATGATGCCAGCATATTTTGTTTAAGTAATAGTTAATTGATTATGGATTTGAATGTTTGATGTAGTTACTTAACTGCTTAGAAAATCGAATGAATCGGATCAAAAACTGAAAGTTAAATAGAGTAATTCAAAAATCATAGAGTTAGAGCTGGTATATGTTTCTTATTATATTATCTCATATCATGTTATATTGTGTGATGTTTGTGTTCGAAGATATGAGTTGAAGAACCTTAACATTAACCCAACTTGTTTAATTAAACATGACGTGTCATATTGTGTCAGCCCATATAATTAAATGTGTCACACTAATCCACCTTTTTTGAGTTCGATTTGTGTCATGTTATACTTTATTAAAAATAGTTAGCAATATTCATAAGATTCATTATCATTTTCATATATTATTAGTTGTTTTTATAAGGAAGTTGAGTTGTGTTAGTTTTGTGTTGGGAATCTCAACACCTACTTCACCTATTTAATTGAACGTGTAGTGTATGTTGAACTGTTTAATAAATTGCATAAACCCTTAACACTAACCCTTTTTTTCCGTATTCAACTCAAGTCATGTCAGCTTTTGCCAACTCTACATAGAATAAAATATAAGACCCAATCACGAAACTCAACTACCAATACAACTTACTACGTAGTTGTAGTTGTAGATGTAGATGTAGGTGTGGATGATCAACTATTATTTTAGCTGGTTAAAGCTTTAAAAAGTGGTACTCAATAACTGAGATCAAATTCTGTCTACATCATTTATCCTAGTTAAGTAATCATTTGACATGATATTTAGAACTAGCATAATAATGTTGTTCCAAAAGTTCTTTTCATATGAATCTAAATAGTTAGAATCTCTTAGAATTATCAAAAGAGATGATCAATATTTTACAATATTTAACCCTAAATTGCTAAATATGTTTCAAATATTGTGTTAGAATAAGAATAAATATCTTCAACCCTTATTTCTACACCAGTTAATAAGGTAAACAATGATCATGAATTTTCCTAGTTTTAGGAATGGATGAAAATTAACTGAGGAGTTTGACTCATGGGAATTGAATGAGAATTGGGGTACTTTGAGGTTTTGTTAGAGCAAGTGGAAGGTGGAAAAATCCTTTAAGCAAACCACTTAAGGACTATAAAACCACCCAAAACTAGAAGAATAATTGTACTAATTAATTGTGCTTACAATAATAATACAGAATACATCACTAATTTCCACTCTAAATCACGAGGGTTACAAAACAAAACCCTAACTTTAAATGTGTTTCTCTCAATTTGAGGATGAATAACAAAATAACCTCAATTGGGTAATTATAATTTTGTACTCTTGACATATTGCATTAGCAGGACAACATGGAAGTGATGAAGATGACATAGATGTGTTGAAGATGACACAAATGTGCTACCCTAAACATAACAATTTAGAAGCTATTGATCACTTTTGGACATCAGCTGCACAGAAGTTTTGTCTGTTGTGTCAGTTTAAACAGTTAATCGTAAAATGTCACGACTTTCATATTCCTCATTGACATCAAAATTATGCCTTGTCATTGAAAAGCTCTAGAGATTAGCTTTCACTTCTAATTTGAATTATCTCAAAATTTTTACAAGATTGAAATTATGCTCATTTGAAGTTTACTAATCACTCATTCAAAACTTCCTTACTTATCATAACAAATTCACACCTTAATTACTACGTCAAACCTCAATTGATTCTCGAGTCATATCATTCCAAAAGGTTGCAATTAGAATTGGATATTACTCATATTAGTAAGGTGGGGATTAAAAATCAAACCTTAAACAAGCCATCCTAAAGGTAATTTGCCGGGAGCTAAAATTCAAATCTCACTCCAAAACCCTAAAATTCAAAATCAATTTTTTTTGGGGGGCAAATCATCAATCAACCCCCAAAAAAAAACCTCACACAATTTAACCCCAGAATGAATTCAGAAGCAGCAAGAAATTCAAAGGAATGTTTAGAGCTAGTATTTCAGATGTCAACTATCTTAAACACAGAGCTTGATCGTCACACAATCTCTCTCCTAATCGCCCTCTCTGAATTGGGTTTCAACCCAGAAGCTCTTGCTGCTCTTGTCAAGGAGCTTCCTGCCGGAACATTTTCTTCTTCTTAATCAGGGGTTTTATGTTTCTCTCCCTTTTTTTTACTTGTAATTCAAACTTGGGTTTTTAATAACATGCATGAATTTATGGTGATTTTGTTGGTTTGTTGTATCAGAAATTGTTCTTGCCTTAGTGGGTTTTCTTTGATGCAACATAATATGGTGGCATTTTCTTTTATATGTGCTGATTTATTTTATTTTGATATGTATATTTGTGCAATTTAGGTCTAAAATGATATGTGCAATGTGCATAGTGTTTGGTTGGATTATAAATGATCTGGGATGTTTATTATAAGAGGGTATTTTGTCAAAGTGTTTTGATAGGTCTATATTTGTTGAATTCAAGGTAAAGCAGTTTGGATTCTGGAATTGGAAATGGGTTTATTTTGAAGTAATTAAGAGATTAATTATTTCTGTGATTGCCCTTGGTTGAGTCATCTTGAAAGCAGATTTTTCTGGGGTATCATTTAAGCTTTCAGTACTGGGAATTGATGAGGTTTCTGTTGAGATTTTGAGAAATTATGGTGATTGTTGAATTGTGTAGTTATGTATAGTTGGATTGGAGGATAGTTATAGCTCTTTTATTCCTTTATGAACGCGTTTCTGCAGTAGCTAGTTTATTGCATATCTGAGATACTGGTAACTGGTTGGATGATAGCCAAAGAACATATGGGGTCAATGAGTGTATATCATATAGATTCTGCATCTCGGTGACTTGCCCTTTTTACCTCGTCTATCATATTTCTAGTGTGTATGAAACTCTTGGTGAATTAGAAAAGGTGGGTCCTAGAGTAAATTGTGAGAAGGGTGCTCAGTGTCATTAAAGGTTGATCATTGATTGTGAAACTAAACAAGGCAAGCAGATGGATTTGGTCAGCAAAAGAGCGAGTGGTGTGAATTATAGGTTGTAGCCTTGCTTTCATACAACAACAGATAATGTCTTGCTCTACATTGGAAATGCTACTGATAGATGCTGCTTTACAGACTACTTGGTGTTGAACATTGCTGTTAGACTACTTTCTTTCTTTCTTTTGTAGTTATAGCCAAAAACACACTTGATCAGTTGATCTCATGTCATATTAGTTATTGATATTATTACACAATCTGGTGGAATCAACTCATATCTAAGCACTCCAAACCCCTAACTAACAAGCAAATGTTGTTGATAACCTATCAACTCTGAAGGCAAACCAAACTGTTTATATTTACTGAAATGGAGCCAAAGGATTTGGGGTTCTTGGTATTTTCAAGCTTTTTAGCTCTTTGCATACTTGATCTAACATTCCCAGGAAATCCCGCACAATAACAAAGATTCGAAGTGGGTTAGCCTCATCCTTGCTCACATCACCATGATAGTATTCTGTGATCTCTCGTACACTAATCAGGACATTGTTTTCCTCAGCTTGTAACTCCTTCAAGTTATTCTCTGCATGGTTTAAGAAGGCCTTCATGGCATGGACAAAATTGCCATTTGTTTCTGTGTGATCCAAATTTTTGTTTACCAACTGTAGCAACTTAGACATTCCATCTGATAGATTTGAAACTGATGTTGCTAGAACATCCAAGTCTATCGATGCTGTTCTTTTCACGTTGCAAAGTTCAGTGCTCAGACCTGACACAAGTTCTAGACCCATCCTTCTGTAACTGTCTTCCTTTTCCTCTACTGTTCTGCTCTTCGTGTGTCGGTCTATCTTCCCCATAATGCTGTTTGACATTCGAATTCCCTCCGAACGTATCATCTCTTGTACCACAAAATGGAGCAATGTAGTTTTCCCGTCTGTGCCTTTGACATCTGCCAGCTTAAGGAGTGCATCAAGCTTAAATGCTTTGGCCCCTCCTCTGCTTGTTCCAACATTCATTCTATTTCCTGTTTTTAGCACAGCCTCTAGTAATTTTAAGAAGAGCCTGCTTGATCTCAGCTCTTTGCAGGCTTCCTGTGGACAAAAATGGAGAATAATTAAAGGTACAATGGTGAAATGAAAACCATAGGGTTTGAAGTTGAACCTCACCTCAAGTACTTGGAATGAATTCCTCAGGTGAACAACCTCGTCATCAAAGGTGGCTCTATAAAGCATTGCTTCAATCCTTTGCAAGGCATTAGGTACTGTCAGTATTTCTTTAACTAGCTTCTCTGCTGATCCAAGTTCATTGATGTCTCCCTTGTAATTCGATAGCTTCGTTTCCTCTTCTTCTGTCGGTGCCATCTTTACCAGAGCCTCGAGTTGTTGCGAGCTCAAGCCTTCCCCTGCTTATTGACAATACTTGACTTTGTTAATGAGTCATTATGCAGTACGATAAAAGTAATTAATGATTGATTGTTCTTTGCAACTTAATAAAGATGTGAATTTTGTAGATATACCTTGTTTTAGTGCTTCACAAACCTTCTCAGATGTGGCATTCAGAGCTTTAGAGAGTATGGTTATGTTCTGGAGTCTTTTTGGCTCAAGGACATGTTTGCTTGGTGAGAGACTTTTGCTTTTTCCTTCATCATTGTCAAGTACATTCTTTAGGTTGTAGCCAAATAGAGATTCTATCATCTCCTCATCCAACCTGCAAGAAAATCCTTCTTTAAGCTCTGAATTGGGTGCTATAAATAGAAAATGCCTTTGACAGAGAGACTAGTAATATAATACTCACTCGAATGAGCTACACCGTAGCTGGTCCCACACCATAGATCGATCTGGTGCAGCTCGAACTTTGTCCCAGTGTAGTGGTTTCAGTTTTGGCAGTGGAGCACCATCTTTCCCTAGTGGCGTGAGTGGAGGAGGTGGCCCAGGTGGTGGAGGGGGACCTTTAGATGAGCTGGCCTTTCCATTAAAGTATGGTGGTGGACATGGTGGAGGTGGAATGTTTCGTGGACCATCTAGAATATCTGGAGTATTTGGCGGTGAAGCGAAGCCTTTTTTGCGGGTCTGCTGTGATTCTGAAGATGATATATGTACCACCTTGGAACAGTTAGAATCTTTGAATGAAGGAAAAACGTGTGCAAACAGGGGCGGAGGTGGAGGTGGTGGCGGTGGAGGAGGAGGAGCTAGAGGGGGAGGCGGTGGAGATGGTGTCGGTTGTGTGTTGTCTTGCAGACCATTTAGAGCATTTTCTATCCTATCGGTTGGCTGTTCTTGGTCAGGTATAGTTAATTGAGGAGGGTTTGCTGGTAAACTATGGTTTGGGGAGAAAAGTTCCACCGGATCACCAAAACTACCATATGACGCATTAGAAAGCCGAATATTACGATTACTAGATGAGTGCGAATCACACAAAGAATGAAACGATTCATCCTCGGATGAATGTTTATCAATGCCATCCATCGTATCAGCATTCGAAGAATTCTGATCATCAGATTCGTATCTACTTGATCCTGTATACTCATGAACTGATATAATCTCTTCAGCCAATGAACTGCTCTCCTTGGACTCAATCTGTATAGTTTCATATTCTGAATGCTTTCTCTCATACGATGTATTTCCCTTGCTTCCCATTATCGATTTCTCGAAACAATCAGGACTTCCTCTTAAACATGTTTGCGGTTCAAGAACAGATGTTAAAGTGTCAATGTAAAACAAATCAGAGTTAAGGTCTTGGGTTACCTTCCTTGCTAAATTTTCAGTTGTTATGCTCTTTGATCTCTCTCTATCCCCTCCTTGGTCGCTACATACCGAAGCCGTTCCAGTAGCAACCTTCTTATGGCGATACGTTCTCTTGCTAAACCATAGCAAAACTCCAAGAGCAAATACCAATACCACCACTCCTGTAGGAACTACTACTGCAACTGTAACTATCTTTTTTGTTCCATTTCCTTGGTGCTGATTATTGTCAAGCTTGTGTACTGGCAGCATTGGCCGAGGCCGGGGTGACTGGTGATGATGATGGTGGTGAAGATGATGCAAGCGTGTATGGATAGCCGGCGCTTGTGCAGGAACCGGAGCAGGGGCTGGAGCTTCAGCTTCGATTGTATTCAGTGATGGAGATGGTGCAGGTGAACCATACTCTCTTCGTTTCATTTTGTTGTTAAAGGTTCTTAAACCAAGCAAAGCCCTGAACTTTTCCAGTACTGCACTATTATCCTCCCTAGAAATGGCTCTGATCTTGTAATCACTTCGTTCATCGTAAAATCGTAAACCCTCTGCTTCTTGCCAGGAAGCATTCACCATTAAAATGCTGCTTCCCATGTTATGATATGTAATAACAATGATGAACACCATTATTGTCATCATTGTAAGGGTGAACATTTTATGATGATGTCTGCTTTCCATTTTCATCTTTTTGGTCTCAAAATAGAAAGCAAAGAAATGAAATGAATCCTAACTTTTCTACTTAAAAAACCATACTAATTTCTAATTTGTATTACATTTTTTTTTTTTTTTTTTTTTTTTTTCTGATACTGTTGTTGGGTTGGGAGGTGAAGACGATCTAGCAGAAGAAGGAAGAAAAAAATGGAGGAGAGAGAAAGTCTTAATTGCTACTCCAAGGAACCCCTGAGCCTGGCAGTTGTAGTTGTACTGGGCCTCATCTTTAATGTATTTCTCTTCATGTTTTATCTTCTGTCTTTCTCTCTCTGCTTTCCATTAATTCCTCTCTGACAATTACACTGTCCTAACCCCCAGTAAGCTAACACACGCACGCTGATAACAACCGTTATAAACTCGACATCTCTCACATAATGTATTCCAATAGTTTTACGTTCGAAGTTTCGGGTTTAAGTTATGGTTTAAGAAGATTATCTGCATGGTGTGTGTATTATTATCATGATAAATAAACTAGAAAAAAGTGTCGGTTTTTGTTATGGGTCGTAATCTTACACAGTTGGGATACTGCCCTTATTCTTAAAACAATTGTTAACATGATAATGTAATCAAGAGTACGTAAAAGTTTAAGTGGGCCACCTTTTGGTTGAATTTGCCTACCTTGTAGTTGTATGGGAGCTGACCTAAAGTTTTTAGGAGAGTGAAAGGTGGTAAATTTAGCCCTACAGTTGGGAGGAAAACCTTTTAAGAATCTTCAAATTGACCTTTTTTTGTTTTGTTTGAAAATAACATGTAATTAAGGTTGGAAACATTAGGAACAGTATATCACGGCAAGATTGGGTATTGATTGATTACGTTGCTGCCATATTACTAGTGTATTGGAAAAATTGGGTAGTTCTTTTGTCATTTACTCTATTAGTTGTCACATTGACTCGTCCCCTTATTAAGTATAGAATGTAAATTTACATGTTTGGTGCATTTGGGTTGCGTGTTACCCTTATTGGTATGAAAGTACATTTATACTTTGTATGTTTTCTATTTCAACAAATGAGCATAACATAATTAAATGGGTATTGCGGTTCATTTTATATACTTTGTGCTTAGATTGGTACACCCGAGTATATAGTGGTTGGTATTCGGTAATTAATATCATCTGACTTGAATTATGTAGGCACACGCACAGCAAAGAAAATTCTCATGTGCGTATGGTGCACTCAAGCCAACTGTTGAATATGAATTTAAAGAGTTTTGGTGGTTGGTTTCCTTTGAATACGAGTAGGTACGTTTGGAAAATAAATTGTTATTGGTTATCTTCGCAAATAATGTGATTGCACATGGTTTATAATACTTGTGTTTTACTGTTGTTTATGTTCTAATGTGTTGTATGACTGGTCTTTCTCGACCTTCATGATGTATTTACAATATTTCTATTAGTTTAGATGCCAATTTTCATAACAAACATTGCTTCATTTACCTTAGGAAATACTACTCTATAATCTCATTGTCAAGATTTAATTAATTATTGTAATGATTATGAATATTTTGAACTAATAATCTGATAACTAAATTCGAATAAATTTACATTGTAAACACTACTTGTTGATCTAACAAGAAGTGTTGTAAACAACTTTATCTTCAAATAGTGCAAGATGTCTGGTTAAATATCAACTATGTGAATTACGTGTTGGTTCTTTCAAAATTCACGTAAAAGCTAAGCTTGACTCTTTCAAAACTCGCGTTAAAGGTAAGTTAGCTTAGTCCTCAATTGTCTATAACCTAAACTCGGACTTGAATGGCTCAATGCCACCATTAATCACTATTGACTATAAATTGTTGAGCTAAATTTAGAGAATTAAATTGTTGCCTTAGAAATTAGATAGTTGGTGCTATTTTAAGGCAGACAATGAAGTAAGCATAAGAGTATTACCCACTTTGCACATGCACTCATAGTCTTTTACCTAACAAACACACAACAACGTATCTCAGAGAGATGGATACATAGCCCATACCTTCAAACAAACATTACTAACATAAAAGTATATTGTATGACAAGCATATTGGCTTGACTTAGCCGTCACTTGCCATGGACCATCACTTTTTTTTTTGGTTAGTACTTCGTATATTGTTTGCTCGTTATTTGGATTTTGTTGTGCCATGGAATAGCCTAGATATTATAATATAGCTCATAGAGCTTATAGGCAAATAGATAATCTAACGGGATTGATAACAAGAGTACCTTGTATCGAGCTTATTTGATATGGTTAACACATTCACTCGTCTAGAATAAAACTATGTATCTATGTTAAATTGACACTGTTTTGTGAAGCAAGGGAGTTTGTAACGTGATTGCTTATCAAATAGTGTCATCTTCAATTCATACTCACTATATTAATGGTTAAATTGATCAACATTAACATTAGCCTAAGGGTATAGTTAATAGTTATACACATGGCCTTTTGTGATTAGTAAGTCTTGGAAAGACAATCCATCAATTGGTATGAAATCAATACGATCCGAGTACGTGAATAACATGAACAGATGTCCTTAAATGCTAACAATAATAAACAAAAGCTAAGAAGAAAGATTAATAGTTAACTCATCCTATAAAAAACATTTGGTCAGACCGTCTGACACAATAAGTATTAAATATTTACACGGAAAAACTCTATCTAGATTGCCATAAAGTAATCTTTCTAATAATCTAATACTCGATCTAATGTGCAGTAAAGTACTAAAGTATGAGTATCATCTCACTACCCGTTTCTAGCTTTCACAGCCATTAATAATTTTCCTCACACTCAACAACCTACTTTCATACAAGTAGTGAGTTCATAATAGCAGGATTTTGCTCCCTTTTAAGTTGTAAACTAAAGCGACCCCACCCTCCTCTATAATTTTTGGGCTTTTAAAATGGGCTGGCAAATATAACAAAAGGGCCAGAATGATCGTGTTATTAATATCAAGGCCTTTTTATTGTTTTACAAAGGAAATTAAGGAAAACATGTCAATAGTCCAATAACAATAATTATATTGAGACGTGGAGGGTAAAAGTATCATCAAAGTACTTAGCATCAAAAATATTGTCGAAAACTTGTCACTTGATCGTGGAGGGTAAAAGTACTTAAAAATATTGTCACTTGATATACTTATCAGAAAAAACTAAGAGTTGAGGTTACATTTTGTTCACCTTATTAAAAATATAAAATAATAAGTTTTAAGATTAATTAGATTCAAACATGTGTAAAACATAGAATGACTTTTCAATGGCTACAAATTCAGTGTAATTATTTTCAATCTTGACCCTTAATTTTAACACTAATTAGATTCAAACATGTATAAACATTAGGTAAAAATCAAAGTTAATTACATCGAATAAATTAAGCTCTAAAAAATTTAGGTGAATGTGATTTAGAAACATTAATCATTACCCAGGTATATCAATCAACAATAGATTTTGTATTAAATAGAAAAAAATCAATACTCGTAAGATTGATTTGTCATTAATGATATGATAATAGAAAACCATGGATAACTCTCACAATATTCAACTTCACTTAGTATTTCGAGGCAAAGGGAACAAAATTAGAACTTTCCAGTGTGATCATATTAAAAACCAAAAAAAAAAACCAAAAAAAAAAAAAAAACGGGAGATGCAACTGCTATATATAATTATATATTAACGTAAATTATGTTACGAGCTATAATTTTTTAATTCAGAAGGATTATTGAATTGGACCAATTATGACCACTAATCTCAGGTTATACAAACTCCAAATTCTTAACTGGTGTGCGCAGCTAATCCATCAAAAAGGTCGCCTGGCTTTACTTGGATTGTACTAAATTGTCTGGATTCATCTTTAAATTATTAGCCCAACTCAACCTTAATAATACTCCAAAAACTAGGTTAAGAATCTATAATGTTGAGCGAAGAAAGAATCGTATTCAATTAAGGAAAAAGCTATATGCAATCCTAAGTGCTGCATGTATATAAGAAGCTAAAAGTGAAAATAATAGACATTTAATTAACATTTATTACACCAATTTACTCGTGAATTGTCGATAAATTCCTAACTTAATAAAAAAAAGGAAGTATATTAGCTTGCTTTTTGATGCTTGTAGCTTTAAACATGTGAAACGTTCTTGTAATACGGTTGTGCACCTAGTTGCTAAGTGGGAAACCAATAATAGTTCGGAACTTGTACGTTTGGGCTCGTTCCCCCAAAGCCCACTACTTTGGCGGAGCTAGACCTTATTTAATTTTAATAAAAGCATCAGTACCTTTCTTTTTTAAAAAATATGGAATATTATTTAAATAAATATTTAGTGAGAAGAATGAAGATGTAAATAATGTGGATAAATGAATTTTGGGTATTATTATACAAAGCATTCAGTATTAAAATACATCCTATGAATTTTGGTTTATGTTTTACGGAATAATAGAAATATTTTTTTAGGAGTAATGAACTTGTCATACATATATAATTAGGATTTCTTAGTATGTACTTGATATATTTAGGACAATCGATCAACTAGAAATTGAGGGAGTATTTTTTTTTTTTTTTCATTAGTTGATTTTAATAACTTGCGTCTTTGTTGATAAGTAAATTTTTTTAATCAATATGATAACATAAAGAACACTTACTATTAATATATACTATGTAAAAAAAGAATGTCAAAGATATCAAATTCAAATAATTTTATTTTATAAGGACGCACGTAACATATTACAATGGAAGGTTCATTTGAAAAGCTTGTGACTACAAAGACACATATACAAAGGTTGTACTAGTGTAAATGACATTTTCTTAGGTAGCAAAGAATGCTAGAGAACTAGAGCTATGAATGAGTATGAGTGATGTTGTGATTAAGGAGATCGTTATCAATCGCCTATAGTCTATATGTAAACATGCAATCAACCGACAAAAACACAAGTCAAGCAAATAAATTGCCTTAGATTTACGGCGTTAATCCCATCAATCCGTGATTTATACTTACCTAAGTTTAGAGATTGAGTTACCCACGTAAGAGTTGATTGTCTTAAATACAGTATATGAACTTTAGTATTACCTCTCATATGACTCCATCAACCCTTTTTTTCTTATTTCATTTGACTTTTTTTGCGAGAACTTTTTGAATAAAAAGGGAAAAATAAAATGAAACAGATTGACGAATGTAGTGATTCTGTAATTGATATAAGTTGCACCAAAAAAAATTGCACCCTTTAGTTCTTGAGCCTATAGGCATACATTTTGTGATTTTGATATAGGTATAACAAGTATTTGTGCCTATATAATGGCAGTACAAAATGACACCCTTCTCATTTTCTTTTAACATTATTTTTATCATTATTATTTCGAATTATGAATTAAATATTAGACTCCATAAAGACGATAAAGTTTGATATTTAATTAAGTACTTATTAAGAAGAATCAAACAGTATTTCTGATAACTAAACTTAGATGAGTATAAAGCGAGTTGCCATTTGGAAGAAAAAAATAAACTTCTGAAAATGTTTAGTTGCACAAATTTTATATGATGAATAAATTTTAAAAATTTGAATCACACTTGAAAAAAAGCCGGAACACGGCAAATTAGAATTAATAATTGTAAGAAATTAATTAGAAAGATCAAAAGAACAAGGGAGAATGCAAGATAATTGAATCTTATGATGGTTTTGATTCTAGACCTTTTCAAAATCAAAATTCAAAACTACTCCAAGACAATAGGTTTGTGAGTTGTAACCTTTGACTTTTCTTTAGCCTTTTTCCTCCCCTTGCTTCCAACTACCTTTTCTCTTAAACATACTCGTACAAAGTAGTAGCCTACTCTAATGCATTATTAATGTGATTTAATCATATAGTACTGGTATTCGGGCTTCGAATTCGTATACTTCATACACTCAATATGGTATAGCTTGGGCTAAAAAAGATCGGAGGATCTGTGAGAGATTCCGCCTCAATAAGTCATTTCTCCTTACCAAAAATAAATAAATAAA